CTACAAATCTGTCTTAAATTACATTTCTTTTCAAATATACTGTGTACATAAACTATTAAATAAAATATATAAGGAACAAAAACCAAAATATCGATAGACATTAAAATACATATGTAGAGACACATAGTAGAGAGAGCTTGTAAGATTTTTAGATATTTATTAAAGGGATGTATGACTTTATCTGTTTTAGTTTGTACAAAATGATTAGATCGTTTTAGAAGTTTTTTTTCTGTTGTCAAGTATAATTCAAGACTGAACCCGCAAGAAAGCGAAACTTTTTTCTCTCCAAGCTACAATTAGTATAGTACATTAATTAGCTATACACAAACGGACATAGAGTCGCGGAGCACTGTTCATTTGAAATTAAAGCCTCCGCCATAACCGGTCCTCTGCCCGGAAATAGAGAGGACCGCAAAGGGGGGCCGGGAGGGGGGAGTGTGTGCCGGTGAGGCCAGGGGATGGGGCGCTCAAAACCAATCAATGTTAGTTAATTGGCGCTTTAATGCTGCCTCATTCAACAATTACAGAGGTCGCTGTCAGCTGCCAGGTGGCTAGGGTGGGCCGGTACGGATTCGGGCCGCTGTCGACAATCTTGGCGATTTATCGATATTAGCGCCGTATGTTATCGATATCGATAACATGTCAGCAATTAACATAAATTCGTAGTATTGATAAACAGTATTAACTCTTAAGATGAAAAGAATGGCAATTGTTCTAATTGTAATGTCTCATAATTTTCAGTATAGCTTTATCTCGCAGCTCTTGCATATGAAGTTCGAACTCTATTAGCAACGTGGTTATTTACGAGCTTTGACAAATACAATTTAAACAAAGAAAACAACGATTTTTCTTAAAAAATCTTTTGCGCACTATTGAATTTCTGTATTGCGGGATGTTTCACATATATGAAATCGTACATATATGAATTGAATATTTTATTTGTGAATAAAAACAAAAATTTGGCCATAATCGGGATCATATCCACCACACAGTGTACGATTGCTCTTGACATAATAAATATTGCGCTTACATTGCAGTCAACATAGACAAGTTTCAAACACTATATACTTGTAAATTATGTGTTCACCTTCCTACTCTACTTTATGCTGCGTTAGGGAATAGATTTTGTATAAGATCTCATTTCTCCTTTAGGTAGGCTTCTCTTTTTGAGTTATTACTCCGAGAACTACGCAAAGGCGGCTAAATTCGTTTTGTAGTACTGTAGATTTTGTATTTTCTCTTTAAGGGATCTTTTAAAATTTCTTGAAAAAAAAAAATTTCCTCAACAGTCTTCGTCAATTTGTTATTTTTATAATAGGGGTGTGGTTGTGCAACCACATCCCTATTATAAAAAAAATCCATTTAAATGTTTCTGTGTTTTATTTCCATTTTATTTCCCTACGTTTCTAAGCCTTTACAGCATCCAAGTTCACGAGACAGAAATAAATAAATATAATTTATATTTAATGTGTGTTAAAGCTATCCTAATGGATTGTAATATCGAAGATTACAAGGATGTGTGGAAATAACTCTTGCTGGACATTTGCGAATAATTTTGTTTACCTATATATTAAAAAAAAGATAAGACCACTGCGTTTCTTGCCAGTTCTTCTCTGGATTCTCTTAGTTCCGATTTCCCTTAGTTTAGTAAACCGGATGTAGTTTTTTTGACGTTCAATAAGAGCCTAAAGTAAGCGTCATGGTTTATTACTTGCATAAGCTCAATAAGTCTTCACATCCCTATTGTTAAATTGCTGTGTGGTCTGTGTTGATTAGCGCCGCCCCGCGTACCCCGCCACACTTTCCACCCCTCTCGCCCATCACTTATCCCAATCAATCTCCAACGCAAATTCGTTTAATTTAACGTTGAATTCGCAATTAACCACTCGTTGTCGCTCAGTTGAAGCCTTCAACGGACGCTATTTGATTAGAACTCGATTGCTATTGTTTGCGGTTAAGTTTCGTAATTAGGAACTTGGGTGGGTTTGGAGTCAAAGAATGAGTCTTAGCTTGTATTCCAGATGAAAATGTTTGATTTGTGTTTGTTAACAAATAGGAAATATGTAAACTTAGGTACGTTTAAAAAAATCTCTTAAACGAAAAATTTTATAACTTGAATGCAATTCTAATAATAGCATAGATGAGTCTTTATGATTCAAATCACATATCAGGTACCCATACCAGGAAATTTTACGACGTTAAATTTATATAAGTCTTTATGCGAGGCTCGTGTTTAGTAGTCCACTTGTTAAGGATGAAACGTATAACGGTGTTGATCTAAATAGTACTAGTTGTACTATTTAGATCAATAATTAGCGGAAACTTTAGTTCGCCTCGAAAAGATAGGGCAATGTGTTGTTGTTTGCTTCAAAGGGTATCCACTTTTGTCTGTTACATCCTTATTACAAAAACAATATGTCAAGACTTATGTTGATGTTAGCAAATCCGCGTGGATTGACACAAAATTAAGGATTTAAAAAACTGCGGTAGCTCGAGCTAACAGTGACATTCGGACGTCCAACGTCTCAGTCTGTCCCGTGTCCAAAGCGGAAAAGGGTTCGAAACGTTGGGGAAATAAAATTAAAAGCTAACGACAAAATCCGTAAAATTTGTTTCATTTAGTAAAAAAAGATTGATAAAAAGAAGGAATAAGTGAATTTATTAATACAATTAAATCAAAATCTTCGACAGCAGGCAATTAAGTTTAAGAGTAGAGACTAGTAGAGCTAGAAAAGTTATGTGTGTGTGTTTGTTAACTGGTTAACTGCTGTTCGCTTTACGTTTTCCAGAAACCGTACATAATTCATCACTAAAGCATAGCCGCAATTCATTAGCGAAATGCATCACGTGAATATTTGATGTTGCGTCGCGCCGAAAACCCTTCGGCTGATTGAAAACACGCGACACCGAACGGATTTTAATCGCGCTCTATATTATTAAAGCCAATTCAATTTGCGCGCGGCAATTGTAAAGCAATCAAGGCTCATTTTCACGTAATCATTTCGGAGCGTGCTTTTTAGGGTTCCGTACCCAAATTGTAAACGGGACCCCGTTATTAAGACTCCGCGGTCTGTCTCTCCGTCCATCTGTCACTGGGCCGTATCTCATGAACAGTGATAGTTAGGCAGTGAAAATTTTCACAGGTGATGTGTTTCTGTTGCCATTATAACAACAATACTAAAAAATAGAACAAAAAATATTTTAGTGGGGCATGATTTTTTGCCGTTTTTATACATACGTACGGAACCCTTCGTGCGCCTGTCCGACTCGCATGTATTTTGCTACAATAACAAGTAACTTGAAATCAATAATAATTTGATTGTCACATTTAGAGCCAGGTTAGTGGAAAAGGTTTTAAATCTGCTGATTTAGGTGAGATAGGTCCGTTAGTAATTTAACATTATGTTAGCTTATAATTTCTTTTCTATGACTGATTTTGTCATCAAACGGTTAACGTTTATTAAGTTTATTCGCGGAAATACGTAGTGGTACTTGTAAGAGCAAAATATTTTCTTTAGTAGTCAGCACATTTAGATACATTAAACTTAGAAAAAGAGACATGTCTGAAGAATAATACTTTAATAATAATTGCTATTACGTAGAAGGAATTACTAATTATACACAAAAACAAGAAGTGTAATAAGAATAATAATCAAGATAACGTACGAAATATTAGTTTCAATCTCATTAGTAAGTAAAAGCTCTGATGTGAGTTAAACGGTTATTGCATGTTAATCTTCCATGCGATCGTACTCACTGTTACAATTCAATGATTTATCAAGGCCTTTAAACCGGCGATTTTCGTGTCAAGGCTTTCGAATTATAGCACCATGCATCAATGAGTGCTCTATTTTTTCCAAATTGCTCTACCTCAGAAATCACACAATTGCAAAAAGTGTCACAAGACCCGAACGTAATCCAATCTTTAAATATTCGGGCCAATTTGGCCGTCGAAAGAGCACAGCCCAAAAGCCGGCGGCGCGGCCGAGCCGTCGGCCGCGGCGTTCGCGGGCCCGCTACAAAAGAAACGGGCACAAAGGACCCCGGGCCTTGAGGATAAAAAGACCCCGATCGGCGCGTGGATTGGTCGGCTGACGTGACGTCACGGCCCGCACCGCCCCCTAGCAACCGTCGCTACACCTGAGATGAGAGCGAGTGGGATTTGTAAAAGTGTAAAGAGGACGACACTAATATTGACGATGGAGGTTGTAACACCAAAACGGCGTACTGACAGCGAATTCTCAGGTTTATTCTAAGCTGTAGACCGTGGGGATTGGGTTCAATTTACTTTGTGGATTGAGGTCGGAGTGTGGAAAGAATAGTAGAGGCGGTCAGTTGGAAAAGCTGTTATTGTTTGGTTACGGGTTAACCGATTTGGTTAAATTTGTGTGTTAACAGGCAGATGTCCGGTTCTGTTCTCTCCGTCTCGCTCTATCGCTGTGGGTGTGTTGTAATTGCTTTTATACTCATTAATTGCCTCGTGATTATCAATTAATTATGAAAGGGTATATTAAAAGGCTTTAAGATGCGTCGGAAAATTGTTTTTAATTACTTTTCAGATTTTGTAATTACCATATCTAATTACTTTCCGTCATGAGTTCAGTGAAAGTCTTGCGTCAGTGTACTAAACATATTATTAACGCCTTATTAAACATATTATACCACATTAATTATTTAAATTTGTGTTAGTTTACTTAAATATTTAATGTGATATCTATAAATGAATGATTTTTAGACAAATTAAACATGGCCCTAACAAAAGCAGAGTGAAGTAAAAATAAAATCTTAACAACTTAATAATTCGTAGGGCCGTACACTAACAAACGTCGAAGAATTGTCGAGAGCGCCAACCTCAACACCGAGCACAATCGGCCCAATCAGATCCGGTGGAAAAAAAAAAACTATCGAGTGCCCGAAGAAAGGAGCCGCGAAGGGGAAAATGCTAATACGACGCTCCTCGCAAACAAAATCACATCGCGACCCCAAATTTCGCACTTTCAATGGGCAATTTCACCCCACTCAGGCCCCGCCCCCATCCCTACCCCACTGCCGTCGCGCCGCGCTCACCAGTCGACGACGCGCCTCCGTCAGAGATGGACGCCTCCGAAGACCGGTTCTTCGGCCCCGAAGACCGCTCCGAGACGAACAGCCCACGCTCGCAGATGAGCAGCCCCAACTCCACCTCCTCGATAAACGTGACGGACCAGTCGCTGACTCTGTCGCAGCACCAGCAGAACCTGGAGACGCTGAACAGGATGGGCATGTTCTTCCACGCTCAGCAGATGCAGCTGAATCAGAGCTTCGACGCGGTGAAGAGTAGGCTGAGTCTGACACAGGTCGCCGGTGTTAGCCAGGGGCCCAGACACACGATAGACGCTATTTTGGGACTGAACAGTGGCCGGCAGAGTGGCAGAGTGCAGAGTGAGTACGATAACAGGAGGGAGGAGGTGGAACCGGTGCCTGTGTCACCCGGTGCCAACGAGAGCGCCGGTGAGTACCCTTAACACGTACATTCGCGCACACATTTGAAAATTAATGTTTGGCGACTAACACGTACAGTCGCGCACACCTTCGCAATAATCATTAAAGTTTGGATACTCCGATGGCATATTGGTTTAAGCAGCCACCCTGTCAACTGCCGTTGCGCATATTTTAGGCTCGAGTCGCACCCAGGATTTGTTTGATCCATAGTAGTAGTTCTGAGTCTGAGTGTACAGATATTATTAGCTCGAGTCAAAATCGTTTTGTTAATATGTAATGTAAATAATTCAATACGGCTTACAGAATACAGGCTTTACAGAATAAAATATATAAGTCGCTTTTAAATTGAGGAAGTATGAAAGATTTAATTAGCACTGATTGTTGAAAGTGGAATGTTTTATTACCTTAATTCATAACAGATGTAAATGTATTATTATATACCAATTAAAGTGGCTTATTAACAATTTTAGCAAAACAAATCACAGTTACTTATATTTTGGTTAGAATTCAAATGTTGATTCAAGAGAGGAATATCTTATTTATTTTGTTTACATTTATAAAAATAGTTACTAAAACAGTCTGTAAATCCTTTTTTTTTTCTTTAGCTTAGACAACTTAAAATGTTTAATTATTTCTTTTTAACTACACTCAAAACACTAATTCTCGTATAGTAAAGGCATATCAGTAAAGCGTTATACGAATAACGATACCATTCCAATGATTATTTTTTAGATATTAAAAAATAACTCAAGCTTTAGATAAAAATAAAACAAATTAAATAAATTTAGCCTATTAATATTTGATAAAATGTTTTTAAATATATTTATTACGCAATGTTCGAGAAAGTGCAAGCTAAAAAGCGAGATCAAAAAGTGTAGGTAGGCGTTCCCGTAGAGCACCGCCCGCCGGCAAAACGACCGGCTACGAAAAAGCTCACAATGTTTTATTTTTTATGGCGTTAGTCATTAATGCCTGTCAATTACTAAACGAAAGAAATATATTTTATCTGTGCCTTCTAATAAAAGTTTAACAAGTTTTTAGCATTAATGTTCAATAAAATTATACAAATATATCATAGGTATGTGCATAACTTTTTTATATTTAACAATCAAATGGCAACAAAAAATTTATAAAAAAGGTATTAATATTAAGCCAAACTGAATTTACATACTTGAATACGTGCATCATATGATATTTATAAAATAATTATTATAATTTAGTTTATTTTTAATTAATTAAACAATAATGTACATAAATATACGGTGGTAGGGCCACGCAGCAGCCTCGGCTGTTTGCCGAATGGGCTGGCTCGTCCGGGTAAGTACACGACCGCACAGAAGACTGGCGTAAAGTGGAAGTATAATACTTTCGTGTTTCGTCTGGTGAGTGAGGTGGCCGGAGCCCAATTTTCAAAAGGTTGTCAACGCATCTGCCACCCTCGGGTGTAGCAGATGTCCATGAGCGGCGGTGTTCACTTAACATCAACTGAACCGTCTGCTCGATTGGCAACTTTTCACATTAAAAAAAACAAATAAGTTTTGAAACTCTGACTTTTTAACTTAAGTCAAGGTTTTGAAAACTACTGTAATTTAAGATCAAAATAAATCTCGTTAAATTATGTACTTACTTCATTATTTTTGTACATTATAAACACAGTGCTAAAGAAATGAAACGATTAAATTATTGAATTTAAAAATTCCGCAAAATATCTCTACTTAACTATTACTGACACTTAATAATACTACGTCAAAAACATATGAATCTTAACAAAATTAAAACAAATACTAATTGTTATATTAAATGGGTACCTTCGAATCAGTGTAACAATATTCAGGTGTGTAACTATTATACATATTTTGCAAGCTTACAAATTTCGTTTAATATTTTAAAAATGTTCGGTTATAGCTTTGAATCAATCTTAATAATGTTGTGTTGCTTTCTTACTACTAATTTTTTGGCTTTATATTATAGCAGTATAAATTCAAATTATCATTTGAATTTATATCAGTATATAGGTCTATATTATAGCAGTTTAAATTCAAATTATCATTTGAATTTATACTGTAAGCCAAATAAGTATGTTACTGTTCTATTGTATTTAGTAAAATTTTTCATGTTAAGCCCATAAGCTAGTCATTTAATCACATCACTATTAGAAAGAAAGAAGGAAAGAAACATTTATTGCACAAATATTAATTTTTCTCTTGAATGATGTGTATAAAAAACCGGCCAAGTGCGAGTCGGACTCGCGCACGACGGATCCGGACCATTATCTATGATAAAAAAATCATTTCTGTTGTATGGGAGCTCCACAAATAAAGCTAAATAAAAGCTACATATTTTTTATTCTATTTTTTAGTATTTTTTGTTATAGCGGCAACAAAAATACTTCATCTGTGAAAATTTCAACTGTCTACCTATCAATGTTCATGAGATACAGCCTGGTGACACACGGATAGACAGACAGAGAGCGGAGTCTTAGTGAAAGGGTTTCGTTTTACCCTTTGGGTACAGAACCCTAAAAATGGTGGTTGATTAGTTAAATTCACAAGTTCAATTAAAAGAACAACATCCATTACATTACTAGTTTTATCTATCCTACCCTGGCCCTACCACTATAGCCTCAAAGGAGACCAGGATGAAGTGAAAGTAACAGGTTACACTTTTGCGTATTGCCTGGTGAGTGAGGTAACCCGGGCACACTTCTTAAAGGTTTTCAACGCATATGGAAACCATCGAGTGTTGTAGTCATCCATGGGCAACGCTAATCAACTAACATCAGGCGAGAGTTTTTTTAAAACTTTGTAAACAAAAAAAGTTTAAAAAAAAACTGTAATATTTATATTATGTACACATTCATATTACTTCATGCAGAGAAAAGTACTTGTTGGAAACAAATGAACACTTCTGAATAGAAAACTGTGTGTATGGTGCATGAATATATATACTTAGCATGATATATGATGGACACAGATGTAGACAAAGATTGGTTAGTAAATGCGTGTCAATAATAAATATGCTGGAGCTATAGAATCGTGCACTCAAAAATCTTACCAATTCAATTACAATGAATTGCATTATGTAACTGAAACACAAGATGTAGATATCGATCGATCGATTGAATGATATTTAGTCGTTATGGTGTTGAAATTAGCTAAATTTTATTTATCATCTTATCAGATAAAGACTATAATTTGAACTTCTTTTCATTACTACTGACCAGCTAGTACTTTCAATTACAGTTAAGTAAACGCACTAAATTTATAAAGGCTTTTTACTCGTGCTTTGTAATAGATGGGTGTATACACATATGTACACAATCATGTATACACATGTTCTTCTCCTTTTTTTATTGTTTTTTTTTAAAAAGCATTGCCCCTACTTTAAGATAACATTATGTGTTGTGAGAATGTTCAACAAACATAAATTTCACGCGGACAAACGTCCAGATGCGAAAAAATTATCTGTGGGTCACACAAATAGTTGTTCTGTGCGGGAATTGAACTCACGACCCTGACGCTGAAGACAATACCTTGGCAACTGCGCCACGAAGTCCACAAGTCCTTTTCTTTAGGCATTTAGAACGAAATGGAATCCTTTTATCGGAAGAAGTAAATCGAACAATTTTTGCGAACAACACGGAGTTTATGTTAAACACTTATATGCGTTATAAATTTTATTATGAACCACGGTTCATATAAGTAATGATAGGTGTGATAGCTCAATGTCCGGGCCCTTGCCTTGAAATCAATATATTTGAGCAACCTGAGTTCGATCCCCGGTGCTGGCACCAATGAAATTGTTAATTTTAAGTGCCGAATTGTCACGTGCTCAGCGGTGAAGGAAAACATCGTAAGGAAACCGGCATATTTTCGAAATAATAACAAAAAAAATTTCGAAGAAATGTGAAGTCCGCCAATCAGCAGTGGGGCCGCGTGGTGGACTATGCCCTGATACCTTCTGTAGAGAGGAGGCCTTTGCCAGCAGTAGTACATGTATAGGCTGCTACTTTACTTTTACTTATTTTCATATACATGTGTGTAGAAATTAGCGGACGTCGCCGCCGCCCATTGATATTTGCTACTATCGTAGGCGTGTAGATACGATGCTACCAGATGAAACGCCGGTCATCTATGAGGTCGTGGACCTGCCCATTCGTGCAACAGCGAAGATCGTTGCGTAGCCTTGGTGAAGTTTTTATGCAAAAAGTGGAAAATAAGTAATATCCCTTGACAGTGAGTGATCACCGCCGTGGATATGCCAGTACTAGAGGGGTAGCAAATGCTTTGCTGGGCAATTATACGTGCATTACTGTCTTAAATTAGGTACCCTTATAATTTTTAAAAACGTACAACATTTTAAAACAGATTAATTTACCTTTATTTCTTTACTTTACTAAACCTACGCAGTCGCCACATATATCTAAGATTTTAGAGCGTTATAAGACATAGCTTTAGGAATTGTAGTTCTTTCCAAGTCAAGTCAATATTTCTGAAGAAACCTTGTAAAATTGACTTGATGTTTGAATTTGAATAACTGCAATAGAAGACTAGAAGTCGCAGGTTCGAATTAAGCAGCGCCGAATGTTTTTTTTTTTTTCATTTACTACAAAAAATGTATTTTAAAACTGCAACAGATATTATAAAATAAAAAAACTTCTCATTTAATTCAACTTGTCATTTTTAATTATGAGTGATAAAAGCAATATACCAAGACGGTTTAAACATTTCGTAGGGCCATATAAAACCTTCATGGGAACATAAAATAGTTTTTTTAAGACTATGATACAATGGTTACATAATTATTTAAAATTGTTCATATCAGACAATTTTCGTGATTCGGAACAATTTCGTAAACCGTACTAAAATCAACTTACATCGTATTGTGACAGTTCATAACCAAAATTGTTTGAATGGAAAAATCATCGTGTGTTTTCGTCATCATTCCAGTGAAGATTTGAATGTTTCTGACAACCATACTAAAATCTAAATCCTTCTGTCCAATTTAATTATTTTTCCCGTGCTTTTACTAACCGTACCAAAATCTAGTTACATAGCATTGTGACAGGTCGTAATTGAAATTAATTTAATAGAGGAACGATCATATTTTATTTGTCCAATTACGGTCAGAATAAACATCGGCATAAAAAAAGGGTGGAACACGAAAGCTCCGCAAGCCGAGGTCGTTTGAAAGTCGCATGTTATTCGTGTGAAATTATTAATTAAGTTAATCGAGTTATCGTTGTACAAGTAGTGGGGCCAGGACGTCTCTGAGTCACGCGAAACGAGGACTTTCTTTTTTTTTTTGGCTTGATGAGCCACTGTTGGCCTTAGGGGCCTTTACAGTCTCGCCGGACTTGATCATCTTGTTTTTAGTAACCTTACCTTTTCAAAAAATCTTTTTTAAAAAATATCCACTTCTGTTATATTATGTTTTGTTCAAGACCCAAGCGTAAAAGTCAACAGGCTCCTCTTTAATAAATAAAAAAGAAAGCTCTCTTTCCAAATTAATATTTAAAGAGTGTAATATACTTTCCAATATATCACTTTTGTCAACTGTACTTTTCTGAACACAAATTAGCTATTTCTTCTACCATCCCGCGTATTAGTTAGCAGTGAAGTATTTCTGCGTACCCATATGAAAATTACAAAAATAATAATTAAGATAAAAATGAAATACGCCATAATAGTCCGCTGTGATCACTTACACCTTAGTCATCTTAAAATCGAAAAGAGAGTACACATGTCCCTTAACTATAAACATAGATATGTGCAAACGCACATACTAGGTAAAACTACGACTGTAAGCTAGCGAGTACGTAAGGTCACAATGAATTTGAGCATATTAAACTTAATACGCCACCACCGGAATACCGACTTATAACAGAGCTGACCTTTGAAAGTACTCCGGTATATTTACACGTATAAATTATTCTTGGCGTGCTCAAAGTCGCCGAAACGCTGCCGCCGCGGTTAATTGCTAGTTCCGTGCTAGGGTGGACATTCATCGAGTTTTTCCGGGACAGTCCTTTTTTAAACATGAAAAACTTCTAAAAGAAGATGGCAAGCGAGCTGGCGTTCCACCTCTCTGAATTGATCAAAATGATCTTCTTAATGATCAGAATGATCAATTCAAATATTTTAACAATCCTTTCGGCAACTCAAACAATATTTGAAAAGCCATTTGACGGCTGATTAGTTGACATCTACGATGATCAGTGTTTCAGAAACCAGAGCGTAAATCGTTTAGTTTGAAATATTTGGGACAGATCGTCTCTTTACTTAATTATCATATAAAAATTACTATATTATGTCGCAACTGCGCTCACGCAAGAAAAGATCACACACGCATGCTCCATTGCCTCCTTTTCTAGAAAAAAAGGTTCACTTTCAGATAAACATCCTGTTAGTGCGATGGTTGGTGGGTTGTTAAGTAAAAAATCAAAAATAAACGTAAAATATGTAATTATGTTACACACGTCAGAAGTGATGCTTCCTTAACGTAACAAAAGAAAATTAGCTAAAAATTGTCTTACCTTTTCCAGTACTTTTTTTTTGTGATAAAGACATTAAATGCAATTGATATCGGTTTAATTATATAACATGTAGTTAAAGGTAGATTTCAAAAAGTTGTTGTTGGTTGCTATGGTAATACCGTGAAGTTGGTTGCTTTGCGAGCAACTTCATCATGTCACTTTTGTCGCATGGCGGTCGGTGTCAAAGTTATTGTAAACACATAGTATTAAACAAAGTCGCCCCGCTATCTGTCTGTCCCAAGTATGCTTAGATCGTTAAAACTATGCAACGGATCTTGATGCGGCTATTTTTACTAGATAGAGTGGTTCAAGAGGAAGGTTAGGTGTATAATACATTGCACCCATGCGAAGCCGTGCCAAACTTTTTTTCCAAACGTGCCAAAAGAAGTACAATTTCAAAACGTGGAGACACCATAAGTACCCACGAGCTATTTGTATTAATTAACCGTCTTGTAACTTTTTATTTCATACACCCTCAGCCTCGGAGTGAGCGTTAAAATAATCAACGCCTAATTACCGAAAACTTTCAGTTTTTATTCACAGCTACAGTTAACCCATTGAGCATTTCGTGCACGTCGAAATTTCTTCACGAACGGTTTATTGGTTCTTGATCTTTGCGATTTAATGAATTCTAGTAGTTTCGTTCTAAATTAGATTTGTTTTAGAATAAACGTCATCATGATATAGAATTTACTAATTTCTTAACTTTTTCGCTTAAGTATCTTCAACTACTTTAAACTTCGTAATATATACGATTAAATAGAATGACAAATTTTTTTTTTACTTACTTCACAACAACTACTTACTACTACTCAGATTTTAAAACGAAATTAGTTAGCAATAAACTTTTCCATTTTTGGTATCATTTTATTATAGAATATAACGGCACGGAATCACGGAGTATTTTTTAGTTTTTTATTAATAGTTTAATCACGAATAGAGTTGTTTGATAGAATCAATAACCAATGGCGAAGAAATATTCTCGACCACCGCCACGGCGAATGTATGGATTTGCGCAAAAACGATGGATGTAGGTGTTAAAGGATCGTGATTCGTGGCGGTCACTGAAGGAGGAGGGCTATAAGGTGGGCTGAAATGACGATTGTATGGCTTCTCAATTTTTAAACCCACTGCCAACCATTTCACTCGAGCGTTATGTGTGCGGTACACCGCGCCCGTGTTATAACACCGGGTGTGTCCAGTATAATAATGCTGAACATACCAGATATACTGCAGACTGCTGCGTGTCTGCAGTGCATTTGGTATGTTCGCAGAAAAAAGGATAGACGATTTTATACCATTATCCGACGAAAAACCTCTTTTATGATATTTCTGGACGCGTTGCTAGTGTATTAATCCAGAGCGGTCAATTTTGTAAATAAAATAGCATCAGGTTTTAATAGAACTAGTAGTAATTACCATCTAAATTTATTTTCAAACAACACCATATTGGATAAAAAAGTTGCAAGTGACACGTGCGATATTAGCCAATGAAAAGATTTACCTTTCAAATGGTTACGATCATTTACCGCGAAGCGGCTACTGTCGGACTATTGCAACTGGTAAATGGCACCGCCACGGTAAACGCCCGGTGAAAGGGCAATCCGCCGCGTCGGACTGCGGCCGAATAATCGAAAGCTTCATTACGGAACTCGATTACGCGAACTCGATTTTGCGGTTGCGAATCGATTCGCATTCGCCATTAGGGGTAGCATTCGATTGCCCCCCCCCCCCCCCCCCCCCCCCCCCCCCCGCCCTCCACGCATTCGCTTCGTCCTTGCGACCGCGCGATGACCAATCGACGTTGCGGCGTAATTTGCTCATAGACTCCAATGATTGGGACCCGAAGTCGATTACCTGGACGTGACGCTTCTATTCATCCAGTTACCTGTTAAGTCCACTATTTTTTTTTTTTTTTTTTTTTTTTTTGGCTGGATGAGCCACTGTTGGCCTTAGGGGCCTTCACAGATCCGACGGACTTGAGGTGGCCTGGCGCACGAGGCGCCTAGCCTGAACCTCGGCGTCACCATAACGCGTAATAATATTACGCGTTATGGTGACTAAGCTCGAGGGCTCCCGGGGGAGCCTCGGCTCGGGCCGTCACGCTATTTAATTCACCGGTTTGGGAGGCCGCCAAGCTCTTAGGGCGCTTTGGCGGGCGCTCCATGGAGTGATCAGGCTCAAGGGTCCCCGAGAGGGGACCTCGGCTTGGGCTGTCACTCAGCACGCGTTTAGCATTCCGATTCGAGGTGCCCGAGAGGGCCGGACCTCGGCTCGATCGGTAGCTATTATCTGACTGGAGTCCACTATGTGTTCCCACGATTCTGTTGGACGATTACCGAACAATAAAAGTTAAGTTCGGCAAACGCAAGGTGTTGCGTCCTATATCTCAAACATGCTCAATTTCTTATTCAGCATTTGAGTTCGATTGCCGGTGTAGCTGACGTGCTCGGGAAGAAAGGAAATATCTCGAAATACATGAAGTGCCCTGAAGATGTGGCGATGTACTTTCTGCCAAGTTTGTTAAGGATATTTATAAGAGCAGTTTGCATTGAAATGGAAAATTTGATTCGTGAAAACTTACTACACTATTTAAAACTTAGATATAAACTCGGACATAAAACACAATTTTATTAACATCAAAATATTATTTACAGCGCTTAATGAACAAGTCAACAGACGTAGCAATTAGCTAATATATTACAATTTTCAGGTCTATAAATCCAATGGCTTGAATAAAATAAAATGAAATAGCCTTTAATTTCTTGCATTTCTTTTGTTTTTCTTTTTACTTCTGTCCTTTGTCTGCAAGAAACCCAGATTGGGTGAAGGCCTCCTCCAAAGATTCCCATATGTATCGATTTTGTGCTCCAGTTTGAGCCGGTGGTTTTAATAATTTCATCTTCGCAACGTGTCAGTTTCTTGTCCGTAGTCTTCCTCTATTTCCTTTTCCTCGTGGACCTTTGGGTAGTTTCACGGTCCACGTCTGGTCTGTAAGCCTCGCTACGTAGCCGTAGTATTTCTGATTCAAATGGCTCAAATACGTAGTCCAAATTTGCGCATATTTGGCAATTTTTCTCGTGAATACTTTCACGTTTCGGCAACTAAGGCCAACTGGGGACTTTTTATAAAGTCTATTTATCAACTAAGTCATCAACACTCGCTTGAATTTACAACTTTTAACATAAAACGTAACACAAAAAATACTACGAGCTAAACTTTCTCCGGATAAAATAACCGGAACTCACATTAGCAGTCGCAACAATTACAAGATATAAAAAATTTAAAATTCTATAATGAGAATGCCGCAAATATGTAGACTAAAATGAACATACACGTTGTTAATTTCATTTAACAGTAACTTCATTCTTAAAGATTTTAGGGCTCCCCGTTCCAGCATAACGAATTTAGCAGAGATTATTCGCTAATTGCGTCACCCATATTTATTACTAGCTGTGCGCGACTATGTCCGCGTGGAATTTAAAATTAAAAAAAATCTAAAATAAAAGTAGCCTAAGTTATCCTTTATTACATCAGCTATCTATCAGTGAAAGTCCCGTCCAAATCGGTCCAGCCGTTACAGAGATTAGCCGGAACAAATAGACAGACAAACAGGCAAAAATTGTAAGAAATATTATTTTGGTATATGTACTGTGTATACATCCATATGCATTTAGTAAAAAGCGGTCATTTTAATATTACAAACAGACACTCCAATTTAGTTATCTGTGTAGGTGATAGAAAATCATTCGCATAACAAACAGTATATTAATGGCATTGTTATTGGCCAAGTTATTCAAAATCAACTATGAAGCAACATATAATTTTACTTCGTAAAGATCCAACGTTGTTCATTGAAAATTAATTGACGTTTATAAAGAAGGCACGATTTTATTAAATGTCACAGGCGGGGAAAATTAAAATATAATCCTTTCACTGCAAATTGTTAAATTAACATTTCGCAGCTCCAATTAACGCTGCAATGATTCGGGACAATGAAATTACGATTAACATAATATCGATTAACTCATTAAAGTGTCCAAGCGATACCTGCGCCGAGCAAAAACGGGCCTCGCTCCAATCAACTCCAATTAATACAGAGTATAAAGAAAAAAAAGAGATTTAATAGAGAGCTTTTTTAAAAATCATTAATGCGCGGCAAATCTGACGTGTGATTAGGGTTGCCAGTGAAAAAATAACGAGAGAGACGGGACCATTATGCACGATAATGCCGCATGTTGCCAGATTATCGATAATTATTACAAAAAAGAGACACGCTGATCATATCACGATAAGTGTAAAACATCTTAATGCGTTGGGCACTTCTTATTTGTTTTGTATTGCTTGTAATCTGCGCTTGTATCTTAATGCGAGTTTCCTGTCTCGCTCCGTTCACGCTGAAACCTTGACGCAAGAAAGGGACAGTTGTACAGTAGCAGGTCTGTTTTGACTTACGATCTCTCAATCTGTGACGGGGCCGGCACAGATATTTTGTCACGCAAACATTTCTTAATCGTTGTCAAAGTGACAGACGGACAGTTTAACTTTGTAAATATGAATGTTTTGTATTAGTTTGTTAAGCTGCTCTCCGTTTGGCGCCATTCGAAAATTAAATAACCTTAAACTACAATTGCGCGTTATGCAACATATTATTCATGCGATATTTTATTGCTTATTGCATAATTGTATTACAATATTACGTTTCAAGATTTAACAAGCTCCTGCCATTCTAATTTTGTATATGTTGCAATTGTTGGCTAAGATACAATTACAAAATATTATTATTAGTTAGGTTAACACTTTACATTGGATGTTAGCACATGAATTCGTATCAAATAAACTTTTAATTATCCATTATCCAACTATTTTCCTTCTATTATCCAACCGCTTGAACAATTAATGTAAAGCAATGAATTTTTAAACCAATTAGTATTGAAATAGATTAATAACTTATCAAAGCATAGGAGTATAGCCGTTAAATTAATTATAGTTTAACGCAGTGCAGTCTGTAAAATTATATAAAGTGCAGTCTGTAAAGTATACATTAATGAGAACGGGTTAAATATTATGAAACTATGTAATGTATTTTCAAGCGCTTGCTAATAATGATAACTTTAAACCATTTTACTATCTATACCTATTATTTATAAATCATCTATATTACCGGCTTTGATTTGATTTAACGACATATCAATATGATAACACTGTCAACTTTTAAAACCACTAAAGTGGGCTTCGTTTTTTATAAAATAAAATAAATAAATTAAAAATAAATTCTTAATTACTTATTGAACTAAATCTTTTTTGTACATTGAGCTCGCGAAAGCGATAAGTGTATTCTACCATCGCTTAGCTTAGGTATATTTTGTTTTATTACATCATCATAGGTATATTTTGTTTTATTACACTATACAAATTTTCTAAATATGTCTCGTGGTTTCTGGCGAGCCCACGAGTTTTGCGTTCGATGAACGTTTAATAGTCCACGAACTGCAAGTAATAATTTGAATTTAAGTAAAGTAAAAGATTCCTTAATCCTATAATAAATTGTTTACAATTGATGCATATATGTGAAAATTTTGCCTCCTGAATTTTGTTAAAACTCCAATAAACTTGGATGTTATACGTATAAAAACTCGATAAAAAGATTAAATTTAAGGTTCCATTTGTTCTCGAGATAATCACTAAGTATTACTAATACTTTACTTCTAAATCTTCTAAAATTAAAATTTTACATTCTTGTTTGATATTATAAATCCATGAAGTTTTTGAAGTAATTTGTTATTCCACTGTCTTTTTTAATACTAATAATAAAATGCTGTTTTGCGTTTGCCGATTAGTTCATAATTATGTCTGTGAACTGTTGCAAAGATGAATCGATCTGAGCATTTTTTTGTTAAATCCATTCCTTTATTTAATCTTGACAGAAATTTAAAATTCGAAATTGCTAATTAAAACAGCCTTTCTGTTGCAAAAATTTTTCGTTCATACAATCGATAAACAGACCATATCAATCAATCAATCACTCAATCAGCCCTTTGCAGTCCACTGCTGGACATAAGCCTCCTCAAGAGCCTACCTCATCGAGCCACCACCAACGGCCTCAGGTCATCGGTCCACCTGGCAATGAAAATCCCTCAAATGTTAACAAATCATATAATACAATAAAACTTTAGTATCGAAGTTTACTACCAAAGTCTCCAGCAAAGCGGCAATAGGAAACGTGCAATGAAACGTTACCATTCATCATACAAACGTTCGGGGGCCGCGTAAATAATGGATAGCACGTGTAATGGCGAGGAAGTCCGGCTGTTGCGAACGATGCCGCAGTGATATGGAACGGTGATAAATGGATGCACTAGCTAAGGCTGCCGCCCTGGTACTTGAAATAAAATTAACTTCTTTACAACAGTATAAATTCTATTCAATTCAAATTATTCAGTATAGAAGCATTGCACCATATTGGTTGTTAAATACTACTATCTTTTTTTACCAATTATTTGACAATAAACTATGTTTAATATACATATAGTCCACTTGAAAGAGACTGGAGTGATCAATCCATTTTCAAAGCGTTTTATCATTTAAGTAATCACTAACATTATAACAACTACACATAAACGTTCCTTTACAATTTTTTTTGAATATAGCAAGTGATACATATTGAACGTTATCTGGGATTTCATAATAATATTGTATGACGTTATTCTAACATTGCATTCATTTCAAAATAAGAGTCATATATCTTTGGGCCTGAAAGTTGCCATCTTTACCAACCCAAATAGAGGATAACCCCCTATTGACAATTTTAATGCACAGAATTTATTCAGAACGGAATCAAAAAAGTGGCCAAATGACAACACGAAGTTCAAAACGAGTGTCATTCGTATGCAGGGGCCCTTAGTCTTAGTTGATTTGAATATAATTACATTATAACGGGGCATACATTTCCATACACAAACATTGCTGTTTGATTTATCGTCAACATCGCTTGTCGGGCCGTAATTGCGGTGGGAGTACCTAGGAATGGGATACACTCGTTCTTGCCGGCGATAACACCCCGAAGCAAGGCTGTGTGGCCGGTTTCACTACTGCTGATGCCGCGGGTCACGGTTCAATTTCAAAGTGATCAATAAGTCTTTAACATTACCTTGACCATTTTTTTTATAGGATGAAGTGGTAAACGAACTGGCGGTTTACTTGATGTTAAGTGATAACCGCCCCCCATGGACTTTTTCAACACCCACAAGGTTGCAAAAGCTTTCACACCTTTAAATAAAGTGGTCCCCGGCAACCTCACTCAACAGATGAAACGCAGAAGTGTTACACTTCCATTTCACGCCAGTTTTCTGTGCGGTCGTGGTACTTCTCCGCACGGATCTCCCCATTACTTTATGCCGGTCTGTTGTATACACACGTGTACCATAACGTCAATAATTCTTCATGATTCAAACAACATTTACAAAGATTACCTTTGCCACTATTGATGAACAAACAAGCAGAACAGAAAGTGGAAGTAGACGGTCGAAGTAAACTTACAGTGTAGTGCGAAAATGCGAAGAAAGAGCTAGATGAAGACCTAGAAAGATTTGGATCGACTGTGTGACGAATGATATGTTTGTGAATGAGGTCAGTATTGAGATGACGGCTGACTGAGTAAAATGTAAGGAAATCACCCAGTGTGGGATATCGGTAGGAGAAAGAAGAAGAAGAAGCTGTACGAAAATTTCGCACGGGCCAAGGGTCACCAGTATGGCCGCATCACCGACAGATTTTTTATGGATGTGGCATAAATGTAAATGTAACGGCCTGTGACTCGTCCGGGGAAGTACCGCAGTCTTAAAGTAGACGTGGACGTGTTACATATACTGCTGCATTTTGTCTCTTGAGTGAGGTAGCTGGCGCCCACTCTATTATAAGTTGGCGACGCATCTGCAACCCGTCAGGTGTTTGTGGGCGGTGTTTCCCACTTAAGATCAGGTGAACCGCTAACTCGCCTGTCACCTTCTCACACAAAAAGTGAATTCCACTCCCGCTCCACAGGCGAGGGCTCCTGCAATAGCAACGATGGCTACCCGCAGCGGACGCCGCCGGACAAGTCGCCACCGCCCAGCGACGACGACACCCCCCGGCCGGGTGACAAGAAGAAGCACCGCCGCAACCGCACCACCTTCACCACGTACCAGCTCCACGAGCTGGAGCGCGCCTTCGAGAAGAGCCACTACCCGGATGTGTACTCCAGAGAGGAGCTCGCGATGAAGGTCAACCTGCCCGAAGTCAGGGTACAGGTGAGTGCAGTTAATTCTCTTAATGCTAAATCATTTTTAGCAGTCTTTCGTTAGTTGTTCCCTCTCTGCTGAGGGTCGTGACTCATATTTAATTGGTAAATGGGCTCTCTCCACCGGTATGGATTCTTCATTCTATGGAGTTTGCCTGGTGGAGTGCGGCGCTTACGGGGATTTCTAGGTTTTTAGCAATTTTTATCCGCCCGCCGTTTAAGATTACGGCCTCCTACGGCCTTTTACCCTCTATTTTCTATTTTTCGTTTACTACCAGGTTTATGTACCAAGTCGTTAATGGAATGGGACTTGTTTTTAAACCAAACTAACGCGTAATCAACTCGTTGTTTTAAATTGTAATTTACTTTAAATTTTCATAATTTAACAGAGATTTTTAATTAATTGATATCAGCGTTTGTTAATAATAGATAATTTTACATAAGAGTATACTTATTTTAATACTCAAAGTTTTAAAATCAACTTGACTTATCTGTTATTTCATTTAGTGTGGTATACATTCAACTTGCTTATTTTAACACTTAAGGTAGTTATATATCAAGGTGCAACTAACTATTATCCAATGAATATTGGAAAATTACTTCCTGCTTCATCAAACACACAAGTGTATTAAGATAAAAAAACCAATAACAAACATGCACAAAACTAGGCAGTCGTTAAGTTATACAACACCCAAGCATTAACTAAAGAAAAAAAAATTACAAGATGCAAAATAACAAACAAAAAACTAAGTGCGCTTCACTGGAATAAAAAAAAATGCTGCGTTGATGAAGTGTCTTATGTTTGACAAAAGTGTTGCGAAATTCGTATACCGTTTCTTGGATGGGTTTAGTATTGTAAGTGTTGTTGGGCTATACGTCCACTGGTCATATTTAAGTGTGTGTGTGTGTGTGTGAATAAATATGCTTATATTTACTCTAAACATATAATTTGTTAAAACAAAATGGATAGCACTGTACATCTGTTATCCTTACTAATATTATAAAGGCGAAAGTTTTTATGTATGTATGGATGTTTGTTACTCTTTCACGCAAATACTACAGAATAATAATAATAATAAATAATAAAAATATCTTTATTCACATAGACGCTTGCGCGTTCTTATGAAACGTCAAAATTTTACAAGAAATGAACACGTTCGTAAGTTACCACCGGTTCGGAAAGCAGTTTCTGTTGAGAAGAAACCGGCAAGAAACTCAACAGTTGCTCTTTTTAAAAAAAAAATCAGTTTACAATATAATAGTACATGTACAATAGTCTTGTTTTAGCCTACGTGAGTATCAACAGTATTAACCCCACACATTGGCGTCGTCAAGATATTCAGCAATAGAATAATAGGCTTTAGCCATAAGTTTACTTTTAATTTTTCGTTTAAATTCATCAAGTGGCAGACTTAATATCGACTGTGGGATTTTATTATACATGCGCACACCTTGCCCCATGAACGACCTGTTTACTTTTTGTAAACGAAACAATGGCGTAGTTAGTTTGTCCTTATATCTAGTATTTAGTTTATGTCTGTCACTATTCTTTAGATAACTATTAATATTATTTTTAACATACAAAATGTTACAATAAATATATTGAGACGCAACAGTGAGTATATTAATCTCTTTAAAAAGGTCTCTGAGTGTATTCCGGGCTCCGATGTTATAGATTGCTCGGACAGCTCTTTTTTGAAGAATAAATATAGAATTTATATCAGATGCACTACCCCACAACAAAATGCCGTAAGACAAGATGCTGTGGAAATAACTGAAATAAACAAGTCTGGCAGTGTCGATGTCTGATAGCTGCCTAACCTTCCTAACTGCAAAAACAGCGGAGCTTAACCTGTTCGCAAGAGATGATAGATGGGGACTCCATTGGAGCTTTGAATCCACTGTAATTCCCAAGAATACAGCGGACTCAACAGGATTAAGGGTTACGCTATTTAATGTTAAGCTAAAACTTCGCCTTCTTACGCTGGGAAGGGTAAAAAGAAGGCATTTAGTTTTTTTAGCATTTAACACCATATTATTAACGGTAAACCAGTGGAGGATACGCGAAAGTGCACTATTCACGTCGTCATAATCCGACACGTTTCGGTCAACCTTAAAAATGAGCGATGTGTCGTCAGCAAACAGTACAATATCACATAACTCACTGGCATAAAAGGGGAGATCATTTATATACACTAAGAATAATAATGGACCCAAGATTGATCCTTGTGGGACACCCATTTTCATGGGGGGACCCTGTGGAATTTACATCATTTATAGATACTTTTTGAATTCTATTATTAAGGTAAGAGGCAATGAGATTGAGGGCGATGTCACGAATGCCATAATAATCTAACTTTTGAAGGAGGGTTTCGTGGTCTACACAGTCGAAAGCCTTTGAAAGGTCGCAAAAGACACCTATTGCATCTTGTGACCTTTCCCAGGCGTTATAAATATGCTTGACAAGTGCGACACCCGCATCCGTTGTCGATCTGCCTTTAGTGAATCCATATTGCTCATTGTGGAAAATTTTGTTCATATTAAAATGTACTAAGAGTTGATTTAAAATTAGTTTTTCAAAAATTTTACTCAGAGATGGCAATATGGAGATAGGTCTGTAATTTCCTGGATCATTTTTATCCCCACTTTTGAAAACGGGGATTATCTTACTGAATTTCATAAGATCTGGAAATATTCCAGAATCTATACATTTGTTAAAAATATTTGCCAAATATGGTGCAATATACGGCATTATTGTACTCATTAATTTTATGGACATGCCCCACAAATCTCCTGTATTTTTAAGATTAATAGAATTCAAAACTTTTATAATATCATTAGTATCTATGTGATTAAATTTAAACGTTTGTCGACAATAGGTAACATTATTTTTTAGTACATTAATTGCATCAATGGGAGAGGATTTTAACGTGCATGTAACATTAATTGCAATTTCTGAAAAATAACTTTCAAAACTACTTGCAATTTCGTTATCTGAAGTTATGGGTGTATTGCCTATCACTAGCTTTATAGGTTCCCTGAATTTCTTGGGTCTTCCAGATATACAGGTAATGATGTCCCATGTAGCTTTTATTTTATTACTAGAATTTAAAATCCTATTTCTTATGTAGATAGATTTTGCATGTATACAGACTTTTTTAAATATTTTTGAAAAATTTTGTACCCGTTTATGGAAATTAGGGTCGTGATTCCACTGCCTCATATTATATAATTCATACAGTGAATCCCTACTTTTTATATATACCCACTGTTGCCCAGTCACTAAATTTTAATTTTGATTTTTTAACAATTGTGCGGGGTTTAAAAATATGATTATAGGAAGTTATGAGAAAATCAACCATTGATCTATAACAATCATTAGGGTTATTGACTCCGATATCTTTATGGAATACATGTTGTGCTACTTTATCTTTAAAAAAATTTAGTCTCCTAGCAGTGATTGGTCTACACCTGATCTTAATTTCACTTGTAGTAATGTTTTCATTTATTGAAAATTTTAAACCAAGATGATCAGAGCTCAGATAATTTATAATAGATTTGTCATATACTTCATTGTGACAGAAAACGTTATCGATACATGTGGAGGATAAGTTAGTAACACGAGTTGGTTCATAAAAAAGATTTTTAAGTTTGAATGAATTAAATAAATTTAAAAGCCGCTTACTAAGTTGTGTTACTTGTAATAAATCCACATTAAAATCTCCACAAACTATGACTGATTTACTAGTTAAACACAGTTTTTTAAGGACATCATCCATGACACACTCAAACTGGTCGAAATCACCGGAGGGGGGTCGATACACGCATACTATAATATACTGTTGACTCTCAACGCAGGATAATTCTATAGAACGTTCGACAGAGAGTGCCATTATATCCTGTCGATTTTTACAGACTATATCATTTCTAACTAACACAAGAGAGCCACCGCGTATAGCATTTACTCTTACGAACGAACTTAACATTTTATAATTCTCTATATTTACAATATTACAATTCTTATGTAACCATGTCTCTGTGAAGCAGATGACATGAATATTAAATTTTCTAAGGAACAGTTCTATTTCAGGTTCTTTGCCACCCAAGCCTTGTATATTTTGATGTACAATATTTAATTTCTGTGGCCTAGGTGTTGTCTCAATGTTTAGTTTAAACTAACATTGTTTGATGACGGATTATTACATGTTAAAATATTCTTAGTTGTACTATGTACAACTGGGTTCTGTATATTGTATGCTACTAAAGTAGCAATTTGTTTCTTGTAATATAATGGCAAATACCAAGTATTTTTTGTCACCTTAAAACTAGATTTAATAAAATTATTCATGTCAAAATAAAAGAAAGCGTCACTATGACGGTGAGTTGTATTATAATGAAACTTTAATGTATGACTTAACTTGAATGTATTTTAATGAAACTTTACAATAATATAGCTTATAAATCAGAATAACACATAGGCTGTCTTTCTGTCTGAATGTTACTTTTTTAAGTGAGAAGGTGGCAAGCGAACTGGCGGTTTACCTGTTGTTAAGGTACCCATCTCATTTGCAATACAAGTAGGGTTACAGAAGCGTTGCCACCTTTTAATAAAGTGGGCCACACCTACCATACTCACCAGACGAAACACAGAAGTGTTACACTTCCATTTCACGCCGGTCTTCTGTGGGGTCGTGGTACTTCTCCGCACGGATCTGCCCATTCGTGCAACATCGAACACTGTTTCGTCGCTCTACCACATTTAAACTGTTACTGCACAACACAATCACCTTTTCAATATAAAACAATATAAGGCACACCAATATTATAATACACATTTTTTTGCAACCCTCGTATTTTTTAAATAATAATAATATTTCAAACATATGTGAAGTCTCCGTTATGGGGACTATGCCCTATAATATACCAACCGTTTGGAGGAGGGGATTCGCCCACCAGTGATATATAGGCTTGGATTCTGATGCAGCTATATTCTGATATAGCTCTGACATGATAAGGAATTAGTTATATTGCAGATGATACTCGTATTAATCATTATAATGAAGGAATGGCATGTTTTAATTTCATGGTGAAGTTTTTTATGATATTGTTTTTTTTTTATTTTTCCGTTATTGATTGCGAATAAATCCATAACACAGTTTATTTAACAAATAATAATTTTGTTAAGGATTTATCATTTTCGTTTATTTCGTTATAATGTACAACAATCTTTGAGCGAGAGCATCGAAAATCAACTAAACGAAACTCTATTAAGTGAAATGAAAACTCTTCGCAAACA